CAGGGAATTTGAACTCAAAATATTTTGTGTGCCTCTACTGGAGATGGTTGAGCATAACAAAGCTATAGCCCATGTTCAAGGAGCTGTAGAACTACAAAGCTGTGTTTTGGAAATCAGACAGTATTCTTATTTGTCTATCTGAATGGATAAATAGGTATAGGTAAAAAAAAATAGTGCTGTAATGTAGCGTTTGATGAATACACTGAGTTCTGTGTAAGTATGTATATTAATTAACAGCAATATTTGAAGGTAGTGTCTCTTATTGGTTTGGAATAACTGGGACTTGGCATTTTAGCAATCTCTGCTACTACCAGCTTTTTGAATCAACAAAATGTAGCTTAACAACTGGCTTTGCTTGGCTCAATGAAATTATCTAAGTAGTTGTTGCCAGATGCAAACTTAGCAGCACTGCATTAGGAGATTGAAACATAGATGACCATCTTTATTATTATGATTATTTTAATGTTTCTGTTAAACCGGTTTCTTTTAGTACTTACTATAGTGTTTTGGTTCTTGATGATCATGACTTGTCACTCCCAGTGTTAAAGCATGAGCTTCCCTAAAGTTGATCCACTTGAGAAATGAGTAAACAATGTTGCGTAGTGGGGACTATCCTTTTCCGGTTCTTTTTTTTTTTTTTTAATCGTTAGCTTTTGTAAATATGATGAAACTACATGCATTTTTTTAGAATCTCAAAAATTATTCAGATTTCGGTGACTTTCAGCATTCCTTGCCCATGCTGAAGGCTGCCTCCTTTGTCATTTCTCTATCACCCGTCTGTCTGAAGTATTTGTGTTCTTCCTGTTGACTCCCTTATGAACTTTTATTTCATACTAGTCATAAAATGTTTCTTAAAGAAACAGAAGCAGGTTAAGAGCTGGTGCCTGAAGAAATGACTGTAATTAGAAGACATGTATCCAGTAATTTCTTTAAAAATTACAATTTGGGGCCAGATCCAATAAGTATTTTTCATGAAAAGGTGGGCTGAATGTGAGTTCTTCATTTTCATGGACTGACTGTACTGTAATATCTTAATTTGAATGCAGGAAACTTTCCTTAAATCAAACGTTGGTTGGCCAAACAAATATACTAAGTATTTGCATGCTGCTTAAGCTTGAATCCTTCCCATTGATGTACTCACTTTGATTTTTGCTTTCTTAAGTAATATTTGTGTATGCAGGGCATGGCAGATCTGTTTCTGCATATCTGAATCAAGATTTTATATTGTGGGTCAGGTAAGAGGCTGGCAAAGGAAGGCTACCTGATGGGTCTGACATTTGACTATAATGATTAAGCATTTTTCAAGAGAGGGAATTTATTCCACCATTATAGTACGTACTTCATTGTTTCAGTGCCCACTGTACAAATGCTTTCCCCCATCAAACACTCTGTGCCTTTGCAAACATGTTGTTCAATTTGTGTACAGTCCATATGACTGGGTCATGAACAAACAAGAAAACAGTTTCTTATGTCTATATGTTGTAAGGAAAAAGATTTACATAAACTGGAAACACTAATATTCCTTTGTTTAAATGAAAGACTTCATATATGTGTAATGCACATAGGGATTAGAGGGATAACCTGAGCAATTAGGTTTACTGTGTGGATCTCAAGCAGGATAGGTGAACCATGAAGTGCTATTGAATTGTGGGAGAAGAATCTCATGTTTGAAAATATATAGGAGGTTGTTTTATGCCAAATGAGACTATTGATCCAACAAAGCCATGTGAACCTTACATATGCTAATCAAACTTAAACATGTGTTTCTCATAAATATGTGTGTCTCATAAGAACTCTACATGTGTGACATGGAAAACTTCAGATTTTTGGAAAAATAAGTTGCTGAGAGTTTTCAAATATTCTGGGTTGAATCCAGATTAAGCCTATCGGTAACATTACAAGAAAATACTGGAGGGGCTGCCACCAGGAGGAAGAAAAGGGTTATCTGCTGAATCTAACTTTCATATAGGCCTATAGAGGTCCAAATGTAATTAAAAAGCTATTAACCCAACTTGTCAAAAGTAACCATAGTCTAAACTGCAGTCACTTTCAGAATTGAAAGGTCATTATTTCAAAGCTACTGTTCAGTGGGATCAGACTTCATTAATTTGTGTTTTCCTATAAACATCATAATATGAAATTTCATAATTATCTGATGCCAGTAATTAAAGCTTATAGTGTTAGTCCGATTTTAGAGGGTTGTTTCAGTGACCATGAACTGATTAGAGTGAATTTAGAAGCTTAGATATCAATCAAATTTAGTTTGGGGTAAACTTTTATTAGAATTAAATGTTAATTGCGTATTTGTGAGGAAGATACTAATCCATAACTTTGGGGGAATTCCCCCCTGCATTTACATCCGTCTGGGTGAACACATACAATTTGAAGCTGTACATTTATAAAGAAATGACAACACTTTATTTGCACAAACATAGTAGAATTAAAATTGTGTGATGAAAAAATACATTTTTGGTTTAGGTTGAAACCCCTTGGATATATTTCACTGATAAATCATATATTCAAATAACTAAAAAATCTAAATATACAGCTAAAGTTATCAGTTCTCTCTATAAATGCTATTAATTTCCCATCTCTACCCTCACCCCACTCTCCTTTGTAGATTTACATTTTGTTACGTGGAGACTTGTTTTACTTTGACTTTCTGACCATATAGATTATATACAAAAAATAATTTAAGGGTTGGAAATGTGATCCAGTCAATTTGACAACTAACTGTTGTAATTAGGGGGGGGGGGGGGAAACCCGCAAAGCAGGAAATCCGAATGAAATGTGTGATTATAATTCAAGAACTGTTTATTCAAGTCTCTTAGGACCTCCCAAATAAATGCAGAACAAGGAAGTTAGATAAAGCCCTATGCTTCCTCTTTCTTTTTCTAAAATCTGTGTAGGGGCCGACACTCTACGCAGATTCATAGAGAATACCAAATAAAATTTTACCATGAGCAAAAAAGGACTGCTCAGGACTAACATTGCCATCTCTCGCTGTTTATTAATACTGTATGTGTTTTGTTACCATGTTGAATAGTAGGAAAATAGGTGCTTTGAATTATTAAAGTTGATTCTGGAGAATAGCTGTATGCTCAGATGGCATTTGCTTCAGCATATGCAAATTATTTAGTTTCATTTGGGATCAATTCCCAGGGGCACCCCTTTCCTCTGATGCTCTGAATTTGGCAGGCTGAATCCAGTCCCATTCTTCTCTCGCGTGCACTCTCTCCCCACCCAGCACTTTTAGACCAGTTTTCCCATTTTTGGATTAGATGGTACAGGGTAAAAGAAAATTAAGAGGCAGGGTCCACCCACTGGCATCATATCGTGCTGTGAACACGTTTTATTTATCTTCCTAGGCTGAGGAAAACAAAACGCGAAGCCTGGAGAACAGTTTGTGGAGATCCAGGCGAGTGAGCTGCCTTCAGCGTCAGAGGAATGGAAAGGATTTCCTGCCTTGTTTTTTGGGGGGGGGGTTCCCAAAGAAAAGATATATTTTTCCCACAGCCCCAGACGTTAAAGGCTTCTTCAGAAAGCCCTCTTCGTTCCAAATGTTATCCGGGGGAACTTCTCAGAGGCGACGTAGTAATATTAAGCAAACCGAAACGTGCATTGCCAGCTCCTTCCCCTCCGTTCCCCCCATCCACCCCCCCCAAAAA